TCTGCTCCTATGATGCTGCTTGGCCTGCTGTGTTCATCCAGCCCTGCACCTTGTTGTCTCGGATTCTCCAGCATCTGCAGTTCCTACTATCTCTGAACTATCAGCATCCTTTCTCCTCCAGCAGTCCAACCACACCGCCTCCCACCCCCACAACTATTGCATAAATGTTCCTCCTTCCATTCTGCACTTTATCTCTGATGAAGATTCATGTAGACTTGAAACGTTAGCTTGCTTTTCTTTCCACGGATGCTGCCTGATCCACTGTGCTCTCCAGCATTTTTTTTTGTTTTCCAAGAACAGTACAACATAGGAACAGGCCCTTCAGCCAACCATGTCTGTGCCTACCATGATGCCATTCTCAAGAAATCCCACCTGCATGCACATGATCCATATCCCTCTATTCTCTGTTTGTTCATGCGTCAAAGTGCCTCTTAAACATTGCTATTGTCTCTGCTTCTATCACCTCCCCAGGTAGCATTTTCCAGGCACCGACAACCCTCTAGATTAAAAAAACTTTCTTCGCACATCTCCTTTAAACTTTTCCCTTCTCACATTAAACTTATGCCCCTGGTGTTTGACATTTCCACCTTAGGAAAAAGACTTCAACTATCCATCCCTCTCATAATTTTATAAACTTCTGTCAGTTAGATGCTCAGCCTCCAACACTCTAGCGAAAATAATCTCAAATTTGACTCGCCTCCTTTGAATGGACTCCAATCCAGGCAACATCCTGGTAAAACTAGGGGCATGGAGTGCATTGCCGGAGAGGGTAGTGGAGTCGGCCTCATTAGGAGCATTTAAGCGGCTATTAGATAGGCTATCGTCCATATGCCTAAGGTAGGGGTGGAAGTTAGATAGACCTTAAGTTTAGGGTAAAAGTTCGGCACAACATCGTGGGCCAAAGGGCCTGTACTGTGCTGTACTGTTCTATCTTCTGTGTCCTAAAACTCTTTTGCACCCTTTCCAAAGCCTTCCTTCCTATAGTGTGGCAACCAGAACTGCACATTCTAATCCAAATGTAGTTTAACTAAACTTTTGTACAGCTGCAACATGACATGCCAACTTTTATACTCCATGCCCTTGTCGATGAAGGCAAGCATGCCATATGTGTTTTTTTTTTAAACCAGCGTATCCACTTGTGTTGCCACCTTCAGGGTGCTATGGACTTGCACCACAAGATCCCTCTGTATGTCAATGCTGGATTCTTTTGTTGTGGTTGGTTGGTTCACCGAGCTGGTTCGTTGTTCCACAGACATTTCATTACGCTGCTAGGTAACATCATCAGTGCAGCCTCCAATGAAGTGCTGTTGTGTTTTCCCGCCTATCATTTAAACTCTGGTGTCCGTTGAGATAAATTGCCTCACTTCTGGTTTTCCTTCACAATGGAGTGTATACGGGGCCTAGCTCTATGTTTATTGATGGCTTTCTAGTGGAGAACCAGGCCTCTAGGAATTCCCGTGCTTGTCTCTGCTTCGTTTGTCCCAGGATCCTGGTGTTGTCCCAATCAAATTGGTGGTTTTCCTTATCCATGTGGATGGAGATGAGTGGGTATTGGTCATATCTTTTTGTTGCCAGTTCATGTTCATGTACTCATGTGGTTAATTTGCTTCCTGTCTGTCCAATGTAATGTTTGTTGCTGTCATTGCAGAGAATCTTGTACATGACATTGGTCCTGTCCATGGTGGGTGGTGGGTATTGGGTCTTTGGTTTGGGTTCGCAGTTGGCATAGGATTGATGTGGGTTTGTGTGATACTCTGATGCCCAGTGGTCGTAGGAGTCTTGTGGTCAATTCAGATGTGTTCTTGATGTAAGGTAGCATGATGAGTTTGTCGGGACGTGTAGTATCTTCCTGGTGTCGTTCGTGTAATATGCATCTTCTGACCCAGTTTTTCAGGTATCTCTTGTCTTTGAATACTTGGAAGAGGTACTCTTCTTCCTTGTGACGTAGTTCTATGTTGTTGCAGTGTGATGCCCGTTTAAATAATGTTCTCATGCAACTTCATTTGTGTGTGTTAGGGTGGTTGCTGTTGAAAATTCAGTACTTGGTCGGTGTGTATGGCTTTCCCGTGTACCTTTGTTAGGAATTCCCCATTGGTCCTGTGTTCCACCATGACATCCAGGAATGGGAGCTGTTTGTTCTTTTCTTCTCTGGTAAATCTGATCCCGGTGAGGGTGTTGTTTATTAGTGCGTGTGTCTCCTCTAGTTTGGTCCATTTGATAATGACGAAATGTCATCCCTGTAGCATATCCATAGTTTCGGTTAGATTAGTGGAAGAGCTATGCTTTCAAGTCTCTGCATCACTGCTTCAGCTATTAAACTGGAGATAGGTGATCCCACGGGTGTCCCGTTGATCTGTTCGTATATTTGGCCATTAAAGGTGAATTGAGTGGTGAGGCATAGGTCCAGTAGCTTCAGCATGTTGTATTCTTTTCTCTTGCATTGCACCTCCCAAAATGCATCACCCCACACAAGTGCGGATTAAACACCATCTGCCATTTCTCTGCCCAATTAATTGATCTGTATCAGAGATAGCAGGAACTGCAGATGCTGGAGAATCTGAGATAACAAGGTGTAGAGCTGGATGAACACAGCAGGCCAAGCAGCATCAGAGGTGCAGGAAGGTTGAAGTTTCGGGCCTAGACCCTTCAGAAAATTTTCTGAAGAAGGGTCTAGGCCTGAAACGTCAGCCTTCCTGCTCCTCTGATGCTGCTTGGCCTGCTGTGTTCGTCCAGCTCTACACCTTGTTAACTGGTCTGTATCCTGCTTTACCCCTTGAAGACCTCCTCACTATCCACAACTCTACCAATTTTCATGTCATCTACGTTTTCATCCAGATCATTTATTTATATATGCATCGATCCTTGCGTAACTTCACTGGCCACAGACCTCCAGGTAGAAAAACACCCCTCTACAACTACTCTGTTTTCTAGTCAGCATCCACTGCCCTACTGTCATCAATCATTCTTAAACACTTCCTCAGAAAAACTCAATCAAGTTTGTGAGACAAGACCTTCCCCACATACAGCTATGCTGACCATCCCTAATAAGTCCATTCTTCTCCAAATGCAAACAAATCCTGTCACTAAGAATGTTCTCCAATAACTTTGCTACCATTGATGTAAGGTTGGCCTGCTATAATTTCCTGGATTATCCCTGTTGCTCTTTTTAAACAAAGGAACAATATTGGCTTGTCTCTAATCTTCTGGAACATCATCTGTGGCTGAAGAGGATACAAAGATCTCTGTCAAGACCCCAACAATCTCCTCCCTTTTCTCCTTCAGTCTCCTGGGATAGATCCCATTAGGCCCTAGGGTCTTATTTACTCTAATGTTTTTCAATACTTCCTCCTTCTTAATATCAATATATCCCTCTCTAATCTTACCATCATCCATGTACTTCTCCTTGACGAATACCGATGCAAAGTACTCTTTAAGGACTTCACCCATTTCCTCTGGCTCCATGCATAAATTCCGTCCTTTGTCCTTCAGTGGACCTACCCTTTCCCTAGCTACCCTCTTGCTCCTAATATACATATAAAATGCTTTAGGAACAAAAACAAAGTTGCTGGAAAAGCTCAGCAGGTCTGGCAGCATCTGTGGAGGAGAAAACAGAGTTAATGTTTCGGGTCCGGTGACCCTTCCTCAGAAAATGCTTTGGGATTCTCCTTAATCCTACTTGTCAAGGATAATTCATGGCCCTTCTAGCCCTTTTAATTTCTTGTTTAAGTTCTTTTCTTTTCTGCTTCCTCTATACTCCTCAAGGGTCTTGTTTGATTTTTTTTTGGGAATGGTAACATTAAACCTGCTTTTCTTGTAACGTTGTTTGTGATATGACGGTGCTTAACCTGTCCAAATTTTCTTGTATTGGGATGTAGTTAGCAAGCTATATGTAACTTCAAACTGATATTTGCATCTAATAATATAATTGAGCCACTTATAAATCAAATTCAAAAAAATCAAAAACTGTAACACACAGGCTCATTAGCACCCACTTAGTGGGAAAGAGGTTCAGGTAAACTCTGCTGTTCTTGTTCATTCTCTGTCATTTTGA